CCCTGGTCCTGCAGCCCCCCGGCGCCGTCCCTCCGCTACCCCTTCCCGGCGGCTGCGCCGCTGCGCCTTCTCCCTGCTCTGCTCGGCCGCGGGCTGCGGGAAGGCAGGGGCCAGTCCGCACGCCCGGCCGCGGACACGTTCACGTGCGGCTGCGGGATGCACTCCTTGTCCGCCGCCAACTTGCAGGGGATCCGGGAGGCTTCGGGCTGTTGCACTTGGTTCTCGTTGGGTCTCTGTTCCGCAGGGGCAGCCGGGGAGCAGGTCACAAAGTCTGATGCTTAAACGTTTTCCGGGGACGTTGTGTTGAGAAAGTTTCTGGCCGTGGGCAAACAGGCCGTTCTTCCCAATAAAGCACCTGCCTTGCTCCTCCTCAGATCATTGGGAGGCAGCTCTTTTTGCTTATTCAAACTTTCATCCTTTTCATCCAGAAAACAGATGGCTGCAGTAGTTAATTGAGCTGTAGTGGAGATGTTTTATGTTGCGGTCCTTGAAAGCACTCAAACGAACTTGGCTTGTTTTACTCTAATAAAAACAAGTAGAACTTTAAAAAAAAAAAAAAAAAGGAAGTAGAAACCAAGAAGCTGCTACTTCTTCCCATGGATGGTGTTTGGGGTGAGAGCAAGCTTTCCCACTTAGAAATGGCCAGCTGACCAGTGGTTGCTTTGCTTGAGCAATGTGTCATGCTTTAGATGTTTTCCACCAGACTTCATCATTAAGCAAATGGGTTAAGCAAAATTATAATCTGGCCATTATAATAGAAATGTGAATGCACCTCCAACCATTGCTTGTACAGACCATTTGTCTATACTGTGATCACAGTTCATTCAAGCCTTTTATTTGAGTCTGTAAAATCATTCCTAATTCCATGCTACTACAGAGCATGTGCCTGGTTATTGTTTTCCAAACCATGTGGTTTGAGCTACTATTTTAAATATAATATTTATGATCCTGCTCTGGTTGTTCAGCTTGGAGAAGTGCTGCAGACTATTGCATACTAAAATGCTGCTATATAATTACTACTTTTGGCAGTGCTGTTGTGGAAATCTCTGGGGCAAGGATTGTAATGGAGTGTTTATACAGTTCACAGTTACTTTATATGAAAGCTGTAAGCTCTCTTCTTGCAGAAGCAAGCGGGAAACCTGCAAAGGTGGTGGGGTGGGGGCACATTCACATGCATTATATACACCTCGTGAAGAGTTGCAGAGTGCTCTCAGCACCATAGTAAAGGTGGGTATCTCTCCCCCAAGCTGTCAGCCATAACAGGTTGAGTTTAGACTGCTTCTGTCTGCTCTGCTGGGGATGGGGATAAACTTTTCTGCACAGGTGTGCTGATGGGAAAGCATGGGGCTCATTGCACTGTTTCCTTAATTTGTGCAGGCACACAGTAGCAGTCTTAGTCTGGTTCGGATCCAAAGCCCATTTCTGTTGCTGAGAGTTCAGTGCAGTCTGTGCATCAAACTTTGCCTCTGGCCCTGGGTGAATTTTGTGCCACGTGTAGCTGACAAATGATCAGAACTAAATAGCATGAAACACCTGAAACCATGGAAATAGTCATTGCCATGAGCAAATGAGTTATCCCTTGGGGGAAGGACTGCTTGAACGTTAATGAAAAGCTTGAAAAAAGAACTAACGGGTTAACAGCACCAATGTCATACTTGGTGCTGCTCCTTGTACAGATCCGATAACCTCGCTAAATCCCATAAGCTAAGAAGAGAAGCATGAAAGAGCTGGTAGAAAAGTGAAAGAACCTCTCAAAGCAGACAAACTGCAAATAGAACCTGCTTTATAAAATGCAAGCCAAAACCTGCCCTGTGATGCTTCCATTGAACGTGGCGCACCTTGTCAGCATGCATTGCCAGGAAGGGTTTAAAAAATGCGATGATGATTTTAGAAATTAAAGATTATGTGCCAGCCTTGTGCAGCTACAGTGATTTACGGGAGCTGAGAATCTGGGCTAGCATCTCCAAAACAATGGCTGCAGTATAAAGAGAATCACAGTTACTCAGCCTAATGGACCAATACAAAATTCAGAATTCCGTGGGAGTTGTATGATGAAAATAAGTGTGTGCAAATGATAGACTCGTGCACTACAGGCAGTTTCTCCTCTCTGGCTACTTGATGTATAGGGAGAGTATTGAAATGTACATGAATCCTTCTTCCTGGAACAAAGCAGTGCAAGAGTACTGTCAGCGCTCTGCCTGTTCACAAAAAATGCAACAGGGAGGCAGCAAGAGCCTGTGCAACTCTCACAAGATTGCAAACAAGATCGAAGTCTAATTTGTGGCCCTAGCAATCTTTCTTTACTATTAGAATTAGCACCGAGAAAATGAACCTTAGATACAGCCAGAGCAGAGAGGCTGGCAGCTGAATGGGCAGCGAGGCTGAGCTACACGTGTTACTAGATATGGGCCCTTTCAGAATAGAGGTGGGTGACAGGGGCTGGAAGTGTGGAGGAGCTAGCTTTGGCCCTGCCGCCTCCTGAGCTTCATGCTTGAGGGCTGTCAACGGAATATGTTTTCCAAGTGCTAACCGTGACTATGAAAACAGTTTCAAAGATTAAAAAAGGATTGCAGAATTTCTTCTGTCGGGAATATGACAGCCTGACGTTGGGTCAGATTTGAGAGTGGTGAAGCTTGACAAATCTCTCTCTCTAGGTCATTGATAAACCAGATTAGATTTGGGAGTGAGTTGCAAAGGTCAGATCTGGATTGGAATTCCCCTGAAGGGCAGCAGTTCTTGGATTTCATGTTG